TTGTATCTGGGAGATGTGGCAGAGAGAGTGAGGATCCTGAAGAACTGTGGGCAAAGTGAGTACTATCAGCCTAATCCCTTACCTGAGAAACTGAATCAGATGAGCAGAAAGTGCCCCAAGAGCTAGAATATCCTTCAGGAGACCCGAACCAACAGTAGAGCGTATTCAAACGATTAGTTATTTCACATTCTAGTCCTAAATCCAGCAATGCCCCTAAAGTTGTGTTTCTACACCTTGGTGCTGTGTTAATCTTCCCTTTGTGAGAGTGTGGCTGTGCATGTGGGAAGCTTTCTGTCTCCAGGCAAGAAGAAGATGCACTCACCTTCGTTGTGTCTCCTTTCAGAGTCTTTGGCCTATCTCACGGCTGCCACTCACGGTCTGGATGAGGAAGCTGAAAGCCTGAAGGAGACCTTTGATCCCGAGAAGGAAACGGTTAGCAAACTGACTGATTCGTTACAAGAGCTCTGGGGTTTGGGCGGAAGATGACGGTGGGGTTAGTGTGACAGATCAGGCAGCTCCTTTCAGGGAGGCAGGACCCATCCCTATTCCAGTCCCCACTTACCAGACTTGAGACTGTGCTGCTTGGAGGTGGGTAGGTCGAAAAACAGAATTTTCTTCTGCTCCTCGCTGTTCAGATTCCAGACATCGATCACAACGCGAAGCTGCTGCAGCCTCCTGCTCCCGTCATGCCTCTGGATACCAACTGGCCCTTGCTGACTGTCTCCAAGGGGTTCTTCGAAGGAACGATTGCCAGCAAAGGTATCGCTTTGCACGTGGAAAGCTGCGTGAACCTGGGCTGCGTGGACATATTTGTCTCCGTGGCTCCTGAGCTGCTGCTGTTAGCCCCAGATTTGGGGTGTGTTACCAGCAGAGGTCAGAATCCAGCTTGGCATTTACACCTTCCTTGGCAAATCTCTCGAATCTTTGGCCTTTTCTGAATCTTTGGCCTTTTCCCGTCAGGTGGGACTTGACGTTTGGAGGGGAGGGTGGTGGTCTGGCAGGATTCTTCGCTCTAGACCTGACCCACTCAGAGACGAGTAAATAAAGGAATAAAATAAAGGCTCTTCCTTTTTTTTTGTAGGCAAAGGGGGTGCCTTGGCTGCTGATATCGATATCGACACTGTTGGCACCGAAGGCTGGGGAGAAGATGCGGAGTTGCAGCTGGATGAAGGTAGGTGAACCCAAGAGTTTCCCTGGCCAAAGCGCAAGCTCTGCGCGAGAGCTCTGCCAATTTTTCCCCTGCCTCTTCGACGCAGATGGCTTTGTGGATGCTGGAGAGGGCTTTGGAGAGGAAGGTGTTGGTAAAGGACAGGAAGAAGGAGGTGGATGGGAAGTCGAAGAAGATTTGGATCTTCCCCCTGAGCTGGTAGGAGGCATCCGGGCGGCTTCTTAAGTAGTTACCTGGGAAGGTGATGACAGCTCCTGGGGCTGGTTGTGGTGGGGAAACTGTGGTCTGGGTTCGTCTGGAGGCTCGGTCACCGCAGCTGTGGCCAGCTGGGATTGCATCGGGGGGCTGGAAATTTCCACGCTAATGGCTGCTCTCTGTTTTCCCCCAGGATGTTCCTGCTGGTCCAGCAGGAGGAGCAGAGGATGGATTCTTCGTGCCTCCCACCAAGGGCACCAGCCCGGCTCAGGTAGTGGCACAAGCCTTTAATTGTCCTTCTCAGGATTTTTCTACTTTGACACTTCTGGGGTTGGTTTTTTTTTTTTTTTGATTCAGTCCTTGTTACACTTATTTGTCAGCATGTTAAGGGGGATTTGGGTAAGAATGTTTGTCTAGGCATGATTCCTTTTATATGTGTTTCCTTTCTGTTCCTGTAGGTGTGGTGTAACAACTCTCAGCTTCCTGTTGACCACGTTCTGGCCGGCTCCTTCGAGACAGCAATGAGAGTAAGTTTCCCCATGGCTTTCTAGGGAAAAGATACTCTGTTTCTAGAGAAAGATATTTTTCTCTCTGATCCAATGCAAAGCTTCGTTTTGCATCGTTTGGGTGTAAAATAAGAGGTGCTGTGAGCCTGAGTGACGTCTGGGCAGCCTTTGTACAGCCCTGGACAACTTTTACTCAGCAGATCAACTCTTCTCTTCCAGCTTCTCCATGACCAGGTCGGAGTAACAAATTTTGGCCCCTACAAGCAGCTGTTCCTGCAGACCTACGCCCGCGGCCGTACGACCTACCAAGCCCTGCCGTGTCTCCCGGCCATGTACGGATACCCACATCGCAACTGGTGAGTGATGGGTAACTCCTTTTCCGGGCTCTTTTCCTTGGGCCACGTACCTCCCGGACTTCCTGACAGTCGCAGCCAGAAATAGCTCCTCCCTCTGGTGTGATGGAGGAGCCTTGGTGGCTGAAAAGAGGGAGCACTCTGTCTTCGACGGGATTTAAAGGCGTCAAAGAACCGGTTTAGTGTGTTTTAGAGACTTAAAACCAGGGTGAGTGATGCTGTTTTCTGGGACTAATGCTCTGCCTCTGACAAAGCTGGTCTGAGGCATCTAGGGAACCACAGGTGGGTTTTTACACGCCTGGAAGCTGCCGTAGAAAAACGAACTGGATTTCCCAGCCTGTGCTCATGCAGAGGGAGCTGCGCAGCGTGGGTGGCGGAATTACGGACGCCCGGATGTCTTTTTGTGCTAAGCTAATGGCAAAGAACGACAGCGTGGCTCCGGGTCAAAACATGCCTGCCGGGTTGCAGGTGAGCTGGGAGTGCGTGTGTTCCTGCTTTTTACCTGCAACCCTCTTCGGCTCCCCCAGGAAAGAAGCAGGTTTGAAGAACGCCCTCCCTGCCGTCGGCCTGAAACTCAACGACCTCATCCAGCGCCTCCAGCTGTGCTACCAGCTCACCACGGCCGGCAAGTTTGAGGAAGCCGTGGAGAAGTTCCGCTCCATCTTGCTCAGCGTGCCCTTGCTGGTGGTGGACAACAAGCAGGAGATCGCCGAGGGGAGGGGCAGACTCTTCCGGCCGTGCCCGTGCCCGTGGGGCAGGACAAGCCGAATGCCTGACTCTTGTCTCCCTCTCCCACAGGCCCAGCAGCTGATTGCAATTTGCCGGGAGTACATCGTGGGGCTCTCGATGGAGATCGAGAGGAAGAAGCTGCCCAAAGAGACCCTGGAGCAGCAGAAGCGAATCTGCGAGGTATGTGAACAGGAATTTCTTCGCCGTGAGGGAGACAAGGGGGGAAATAGCCTTCGGGTTGGAAAGGACATCGGGAATCCTCAATTCCACCATGTCCTCCTTTAAAGCAGAAGTGGCAGGGGCAACCTGGGAGGGGTTTCTTGGGGCATCCATTTATTCACGTGGTTGGCAGTGATCGTATCGCTGTTTTCCTTTCTTCCCCTGCTGCAGATGGCTGCCTATTTCACCCACTCCAACCTGCAGCCCGTCCACATGATCCTGGTGCTGCGTACCGCTCTCAACCTCTTCTTCAAACTCAAAAACTTCAAGACAGCTGCTACCTTTGCCCGTCGCCTGCTGGAGCTCGGTCCGAAACCTGAGGTAGCCCAGCAGGTACGTCCGTGAGGCGCAGGGGCTGAGAGGCTCTGCCGTGGCAGACCCCAGCGGCACTGACGCGGTGGCTTTTTCCGCAGACTCGCAAGATCTTGTCGGCGTGCGAGAAGAATCCCACGGACACCTACCAGCTCAACTACGACATGCACAACCCCTTCGACATCTGCGCCGCCTCTTACCGCCCCATCTATCGGGGCAAACCCGTGGAGAAGTGTCCCCTCAGCGGAGCCTGCTACTGCCCCGAGTTCCACGGGCAGATCTGCCGCGTCACTACGGTGAGGGGGGTCCCAACATCTACCACCCGCTCCCTGACGTTTCCCTTGAGAATCCCCTCCCGTGCTTGCCCCTAACTTTGCGGACGTTTTGGCTCAAGCAGAACGTCAGAGGACTTGGGAATTGAGATGGGATTTGCGAAATCCCGTCTAGTCTCAGGGACTGACATTACAGGGATCATTCTGGAGAACCAGAATGGTGCTGGGTTGAGCTGTCGAGTTGCTTTGAAGCATTAATCATCTCCTTTCTTGTTCCTCAGGTGACGGAAATCGGCAAAGATGTCATCGGGCTGCGCATCAGCCCGCTCCAGTTCCGCTAGGACGTGCCCGGCCCGGGGAGGTGCTGAGATCGGAGGGAAACGCTCTCATTTCCCAGCTCGGCGTGGAAAATTTCCCCTCCCAGCTTGTAGTTTAGCCTCTTCGCTGTAGCTTGTGCTGTGTCTTACCTGCTCTTCCCCACCCTGGGAATGCCATAGTGAGAGTTTTCTTCCAAGTAGTAGCAAACTTGCGTTTCTGCCTGTCCCAGCTCAGCAGTCAGGTACTAGTGTTGATTTTTTTTTGTTGTGCTTTTGTCATCCTAGCAACCTTTCTCAAAACAATCAGTTCCTCTCATGAGTAAAGTAAATTGACCGTCAAGATTTTCTTCCTGTTTTGTAGTTTAGTTGGCCTAACTGAGATAGGAGAGAAAATAGTTTCTTAATTTCCTCTTTTCACATTCCCCCCCATACCCTTCCCCTTTTTGCCGTCTTAAGCTACCAGACTTGGAGGGGTTTGGGGTCATCCTGTAGTCCTGAAATAATTTATTACGCCAGCAGGGGCTGCTTTTGCTAATGATTGGTGTGTAATTGCTTGTGTCAATGCTCAAATTACTCTTACTGGTCTAGCTGTACCCTCTAGTGTTCCTGCACCTTTCCTCGTGGCACAACAGGTTGGGGGATCTCCAGAGCCGGGCAAATCGTAGTTTCTGGCAGGGATGAGAACATGCGTGTTCTCGCGTCAGTGGGGAAGCGAAGGGCAGGACTTGGAGATCCTCCTCCCTCCTCGTGCTTTCTCCTCCCTCACGATGCTGAAATAAAGCCATGCCTTACACTAGGATTTTCAACCTTTTATTTTAATACGTAAAAATGAGGAATGGAGATGTGCTAAGCTTCTGGCTTTGCATCCGTCTCGTTTAAGGAATGTTCACAGTGGTGGGGGAGAGGCGCGGATTAGGAGGACACGAGGCTTAGGAGGAAGGGGTGGTCACAACCAGGGTGTTGTGACAGGCCACCGCGATGCCCCCAATGAGGTTCAGGAACTCCTGGAAGTCCAGCTGCCCGTCGCTATTCAAATCGAGTTTCTTCATCATCCTGTCCACCACGGCTGGGTCCTTCTGATTCTGCAAAAACGACCCGAGAGATGGGAATCCGCCTTGAGGCCGTGGTGCCGCTCGCTGAACCCCCCCTCCCTGGCCCAGGGGTGGAATTGAGAACCAGGTTTGTCACCGGTGGAGAAGGATGAGCAGAGACAGAATTCATGGAATCAGGAGGATTTGGGTTGGAAAGGACCTCGAAGATCATCTAGTTCCATGGCAGGGACATCCCCCACTAGCTCAGGTTGCTGAAGGCTCCATCCTTGAACACTTCCAAGGATGGAGCATCCACAACCTCCCTTTCCATGGAGGGCCCATCCACAACCTCCCTGGGTAACGTGCCAGTGCCTCAACTTCTTCCTTAGATCTAGTCTAAACCTACGCTCTCCCACTTCCAATCCAGTCTGGCTCCTGCTGGGAGCGAGCTCTTCCCGCTGCCCACCCCAGGAAGCTTTAATCGCTCTCCCGGGGGCCGAATGCAGCACATGCCACGGAGAAACTTGGGTTTTTTTGCTCACCTTCGTGAAGGCAGCCAGCTCGGTGTTCATGAAAGCCAGGAACTCCCTCTTGGAGAGGGTGCAGCTGTCGCCTTCGCGCCCCGCGTACCGCTGGAAGACGGCCAGCAGGGACTCGATGCAGCGCTCGGTTTCCGTGGGCTGCGGGAGCAAGAGCAAGTTCAGGTGAGCAGAACCCGACTCCTATTTCTGGGCTGTAGAGAGCGGG